ACGGCAGCAGCTGGAGATGCAGCACTGGGGCCTGCAGCAGCTGGACACACAGCAGCTGGGGCGGCAGCAGGAAGGCCTGCAGCAGCTAGAAATACAACAGGTGGGGCGGCAGCAGCTGGACATACAGCAGCTGGGGCGGCAGCAGGTGGCCTGGCAACAGCTGGGGCAGCAGCAGGAAGGCCTGCAGCAGCTAGAAATGCAGCAGCTGGGGCGGCAGCAGGAAGGCCTGCAGCAGCTAGAAATGCAGCAGCTGGGGCGGCAACAGCTGGAACTGCTACAGCAGGGGCGGCAGCAGCTGGAGATGCAGCAAGATGGCCTGCAGCAGCTGGACACACAGCAGCTAGGGCGACAGCAGCTGGGGCGGCAGCAGGAAGGCCTGCAGCAGCTAGAAATGCAGCAGCTGGGGCGGCAGCAGCTGGGGCGGCAGCAGGGGGGCTGGCAGCACACAGACTGACAGCAGCTGGGGCTGCAGCAGCTGGACACACAGCAGCTGGGCCTGCAGCAGGTGGTCCTGCAGCAGGTGGTCTGGCAGCAAGTGGGCTGGCAGCAGCCTTGGCCACAGCCCTCCTCAGAGCAGACAGAGCCACAACAGGAGTTGACCATGGTGTGAGTGAGAGGTGGAGGTTGTGGGTGGGTTTACAAGAAGCTGGGTTGGAAGGTTTGGAAGTGGCAGTCTCCCTGCCCACATCCCCTTTTATACCCTGCTGAGGGGCTGCTGTCCTCACATGCAGCATTCTTTCCTTGTTATTGTTTGTGTTAATAAATAGGTGATTATCAAATTAGGTGAGTTTCTTTTCCTGGCTAAATTATCAAGGTAGATGGAAAACAGTTTGGTTTCCTGGTGTTGGCATTCATCATCAGCTCTTGAACCATTTCCTAAGTGTCTTTCTTGCCTTAATTTCTTTCAAACAGTTGTCACATGATATTGTGTGCCTCATCATTGTATGGTTCAGCATCATGGTGGGTGGCTCTACTGTCTACCTTTAGGTAATCATGATTTTTAAAGAACTGTAATTGTTCCTGGTGAGCCAGGAGGATAAAGGTTTATTATACCAATGGCTCATCACAATGGGTCAGGTGGGCACTGACAACTTGGATATCAAGATCATTGGCATGAACAAAGAAAGTTCTTCCCTGAGTGACTCATACATTTTCTAGACCAGTTTCATAGTGGAGGCCTGGATGGGGAAATGTTGATGTTTATCATTTCACCGTTTTTTATTATTTTTTTTGCCAGAAACAACCCTTTAATAATCATTTATAGGGCCTCTCTCTACAATGGGTTACAGACCTCAATTGGCTCACAAAGCTCAGGTTTCTCGGCTCTGACCTGTGGGATTACTTCCCTTCTTTGCCAACCTAACTTTTTGGCTTAACCGAACATATGCAGCCACATCCTGACTTTCCCCAGGATGTACTTTGCAGCTCCATTTGATAATCAAGTGGTATTGTCACTTATTCTAATTTAAACCTGAATGCCCTGCTTTGGGCTGGGTTTCTGAGGAGGAGATTCTCCTGTTTCGTGTTTCAAGTGGTGGATTAGACCCCCCTCTTAATGTTCATTTTACATGTGTCTATATACACACAACCTGTGTGTTTTGTGATTATATATCACATATACTTGCATATGTGATATGTGTATGTATATATCACGTGTAAATATGTGATGTGTGTATGTATATATCGCACAAGTTAATAAAAGGAGATTGATCTGTACCTACTTTGGTACACATTAAATACTTAAAGGGCACAAAGCACCCATCCAATTACCTTGATGATTAATGTTCCAAATATGTGGAATGCTTCAATCCCTCTGCTGGCCTCTGTCGTCTGAGAAACAGATGGGTTAACTGTGTGATCACATCATTAAATTTCTTAATTAGGACCATTTAGTGGCCAAGCCTTTTGCAGTATTTTTATGAAATTAATTTGTTCAGCAAACACCTAGTCTACAGGCTTCCCCCCCCCCCAGGCTCAAATTTGTAAAGCTTGAAAAGACGGAGGATTTAAATAATCATATATCCTGAGAGAGAGTTTCCCCTCGATTGCTGCAGTAACAAGGACACCTCGGCTTCCACATGAATAAGCATAGGAAGATTTCTTGATTACTAGAGCCCAATTCCAACTGATACCTCTACAACATAACTTCTGAGGCACTCTGTGCCTAAAGCTCAGGGATCATTGCTGAAAAGGGAGTGGAAAGATGCTCCCTGCCAGAGCATCAGGGAGTTTGCTGTGAGACTGTGTCTCCTAGGAATGCCAGTAGCCCCACCCATAAAGTCTCACCAACATGGCTGCCTAAACATGAACTGAACAGAGCTGATACCAATAGACATGCTACTGTGGATAGGGGGAAAGCTCATGAGGCCTCAATCCTACTCAAAGAACTACAGGCAACTAAGGAACACTCAGAGTGGGAGAAAGTCTTCTCCTAGGAAGAACATATCAATTGGCTACCCATACCAAGTGGTCATCTCTGGAAAACATACATACAAGTAACACTGCATAGACTGAGAAGATTGTATTTTTGTATTTAGGAATTTATATGTACACCACACACACATACACACACACACACACACACACACACACACACACTACACAGATACACATGCTCACACACATATAAAGAAAAAATGATGTAATTGTATTATAATCTCAATAAAAATATATTTTTTTTTAAAAAAAAGAATGATCTTTTGGTACAAGACTAGCTGAGCACCACACAAGGTACTGGACTCAAAGCCACAACACAAAATAAATAAAATGAGACCCATTCCTCTCTTAAATAGCCAGAGTACATTCTCTAAACCAGTGGTTGTCATGACTGGCTTCGTGGGAGAATAGCCCACAGAGCATTACAAACTGTCAACTCCTGGTTCATGTCCTGGACAGTCTTCTTCTAACCAGTCTGAGCATCTGCAATTTGTAGAAGTCCACAAATGATCCCAGGGAGCCTCCAGATTTGAAAGTTCCGCACTAACTGCCCACATTACCTGCATTTGTGTCCCTTGCAATAGTCAGCAGTAACTTTGAACACTGTGGGATCAAATAATTCTAAGTCTCTGTATTACCATAGGCCAGTCTCATACCAGTTGCATCACAGACCCATATTAATCAGAACAGACCAGTAGGGAATAGAGTCCAATGACTGGATTCATTTTCAAAGAAGAAACCACCAAACAGATGACGCATTACTATATGCTTTTTGTTAAAATTTACCTTCTATGAAACAAAATGGATAATTAGCATTAGGACTAGATATACAAATTATGTGACAGCTATATGCCTATCCCTCTTTGGTTATACACAGCTCAGTTTTCTAAACTTGAGTTGTGACATATGGGGTCACATAATTGAATATGGGGTTCATTGAGTAAACAAACCACTCCCAAGGGTTGGTCCTGTGCCTAGCAGTAGATGGCCAACACTAAACAAACTCAATAGCATTTTTGGAGGTCCCTTTGCTTGGGCAATATGTTTCTTTCTTTTCTTCCTTTACAGGTCTTTGGCATATATATTTTGGTTTCTGGAGGTGTGAATTTATGGTATTTTAGTGTGTTCAGATGTGTGTGTCTCTTCATCTATATGTGTTTCTTGTGCTTTTTCTGTGGCAGTTTTTCTCAAGTTTGTATGTTTGCACCATTCTATTCCAGTTTGTTTTCTTTTTTTATTTTTAGCTATATTGTTTGTAAATGCCTGTTTGTATTCTAATGAGAATTAGAAAGAAAGGGTATGGATTTTGATGGATGGGGAGTTGGGGATGATCTGGGAGGAATTGGGGGAGGGGAAACTGTTATCAGAACACATTGTATGAAAAATATCTATTTTCATTTAAAGCAAAATTCCTGCATCATTTTCTGCTTTTAGTGGCTGTTAGCATAACCCCCCCTTAAAAATCTGGGTGCTACACTTTTAATTTGACTTTATTACAGCTTGTTAGTTAAAGTTGTAAACACTTATATACACCATCCTGTAGCCCAAGCCATTGACTTGCTTACATTCAATCTAGTGACATCTCCTGACAGCTTAGATACAAACTTCCTTGATGCAGATACATGCTATCTGTGACCATTTCTCCCAACAGTTGGCTATAGATAAGAAAGTGCTGACAGCAGAGTAGAAAAGCAAAACCAAACAAAGCAAAAAATTGTTTTTCCACTCAAGACTGCTTTTTCTACCTCTGATATTTCCTTCCTTCCTTCCTTCCTTCCTTCCTTCCTTCCTTCCTTCCTTTCTTTCTTTCCTTCTGTCTGTCTTCCTTTCTTTTTTATACCTTCCTTCCTTCCCTCCCCTTTCTCTTTTTTATTTAACAAATTTTAGGGTTGTTTTACAAGCATCCAAGGAATGCTTCATTGAATTTTAAGGAAATGTATAGAATTTTAGATGGAACTTGGTGTTTTATTTGGAGGGGAATGATGAGGGAGGTCCCTCTGTATATATGTTTGTCTTATTGGTTGATAAATAAAGCACTGTTGGGTCTCGTTGAACTAGCTGTTGGAGGCATCACACACAGCCTCTAAGTGTGGTAACTGTAACAGGACAGTACCAACATAAGAATAGATGAGTGTGCAGACCTATGGAACATAACAGATCCAGAAATAAACCCATGTACCGTGGCCTTCCAAGTGTTAATAAAGTTTCTATGAACATATTTTGGGGAGGTCCCCTTTAGCAACTTGTATTAGGAAAACAAGATACACATATAGAGAACTGAAAGATATCCCTTGCTGGTCTCACTAGACAAATGCTCACTCAAAATGGATAAAAGGCTTTAACTTGAAATTAGAAAAGTTGAAACCACAAGAGGAAAAATATAATAAGAACAGTCAAGATGATAGTAAGAATTGACAAACTGAATCTCATATAAAAAGAAACAATAGACTAGACAGTGGTGGTGTACGCCTTTAACCCCAGCACTCGGGAGGCAGAGATAGGCGGAACTCTGTGAGTTCAAGACCAGCCCTGATCTACAGAATGAGTTTCAGGACAGGCAAAAAACAAAACAAAACAAAGCACACACACAAAAAAAAAAAAAAAATGAAGAGAAAGGCTGGAAAAAAGAAAAATCTTTACCAGCAACTCATTGCCCAGAAAATTAATATACAGAATATATTTAAAAACTAAAAAAATATATGAAAGAGAGAAAAAATAATATAATCAATAAATACACAATATGTTCAGAAGATCTACAGTTCAGGGAACCAGCATTCAAGGCTTGATGCTGACACCATGACACTGCATTAGATTAGACTTTTGCGGGAGGGAAGTGGCACTGGGTTGGAAGCAGGTTGTCCTCTGTGACCCGCCCTTACACAGAGATTTGAGACAAAGTTGTTTATCAGGAAAGTGACCTGAGGAAGGATTGAGGTGAACTCAGGGAATGACATAAGTCAGCACAAATCATGTGATCAAAGCATCTCCAGAAGCAGCAGGGCTCCCAGCCACTGAAGACCCAGGGAACGTTTGCCTGACTGAGGGAGCAAGGGCTTGTGCTCACCCAATCTCTCTCACTGCCTGGACTCTGTGCCTAAGGGCTTCAACTCTCCTACCTACTGCTGCTTCTTCAGCCGGAGAAAGTTCTCAGCACAGAGGTCCATGTTGCTCTACAAGATATCTTTCTGTATTGGAGGAGGAGTGTCACGGGGAGGGAGCTGGCATGTGCTGTCTTTGTACTTAGAAATTTTTTTTTTTTTTACTTCAGAATTTGACAGATGCGAAAAACACCCCCAGAGAAAAAATAAGTAGACAGATACATATGGTATGCCTGCAAAATCCAGATTTATTTAAGATGTAAGAGACTCTCCATTTTTAAGAATATGGTAAAGAACAAAATTTTCCATGGCAATAAGGTCAAACTTTATAGATTTCAGAAAAAAAATAAATTTGTGGTCGCTTTAAAGAAAGATAACAAACAGGCAGGAGTAAGGACAGTACATTTTGGAGGCCAAAATCATTATCCATTGGAACAGAGGCCTCTCGGATTCCGCTCACAGGAGGTCTACATCAGGAATACTGGGTGATGAAGAACAGGAGGCTGCCGGTGAGAGCTCTCAGCAGCAGGAACAACTAGAGCATGCTGGGCGGCAGCAGGTTGTTTGGCAACAGCTGGGGCGGCAGCAGCTGGAGATGCAGCACTGGGGCCTGCAGCAGCTGGACACACAGCAGCTAGGGCGGCAGCAGCTGGATCCACAACAGCTGGAACTGCTACAGCAGGGGCGGCAGCAGGAAGGCCTGCAGCAGCTGGACACACAGCAGCTGGGGCGGCAACAGGAAGGCCTGCAGCAGCTGGACACACAGCAGCTAGGGCGACAGCAGGTGGTCTGGCAACAGCTGGGGCGGCAGCAGCTGGACACGCAGCAGCTGGGGGGGCAGCAGGAAGGCCGGCAGCAGCGGGACACACAGCAGCTAGGGCGGCAGCAGGGGGGCCTGCAGGAAGCCCTTCAGCAGCTGGACACACAACAGCTAGGGCGGCAGCAGGGGGGCCTGCAGGAAGCCCTTCAGCAGCTGGACACACAACAGCTAGGGCGGCAGCAGGGGGGCCTGCAGGAAGCCCTTCAGCAGCTGGACACACAACAGCTAGGGCGGCAGCAGGTGGTCTGGCAACAGCTGGGGCGGCAGCAGCTGGACACACAGCAGCTGGCGGGGCAGCAGGAAGGCCTGCAGCAGCTAGAAATGCAGCAGCTGGGACGGCAGCAGGTGGTCCTGCAGCAGGTGGGCTGGCAGCAAGTGGGCTGGCAGCAGCCTTGGCCACAGCCCTCCTCAGAACAGACAGAGCCACAACAGGAGTTGACCATGGTGTGAGAGGTGGAGGTTCTGGATGGGTTTACAAGGAGGTGGGTTGGAAGGTTTGGAAGTGAGAGTCTCCCTGCTCACATATCCTTTTATACCCTGTTGAGGGGCTGCTGTCCTCACATGCAGCATTCTTTCCTTGTTATTGTTTGTGTTGATAAATAGGTGATTATCAAATTAGGCAATTTCTTCTCCCGGCTAAATTATCCAGTGAGATGGAAAGCACAGCTTCCTTTCCTTGTATTAAGATTCATCACTAGTTCTTGCTGAACCATTTCCCAAATGTCTTTTTTGTTTTAGTTTCTTCCAAACAACTGTCACATGACATTGTGTGTCTAGGCACTGTATGGTTTAGTCTCATGGTGGATGACCTGTTGCCCACCCTTAGATAATCATTGGTATTATAGACCCATAATTGTTTCTGGTGACCCAGGAGGATAAACGTTTTTATGCTGATGGCTCATCCATAATGGGTCAGGTTGGCCCAGAAGGTTTGGCCACAAAAAAAAAAAAAAAACTCAAAATCTAGGTGTCTCCATTCCACTATGTGGGCTTCTTTTCCTTCTGTCTCTGGTAGCTTGTCCTTCTTGCTTTAACAGGAACTCCTGACCCAGGCCCTTGCTTTCCTCAGATGTCCTTCAGGACTTCAGTTAGATGAGCAACTTCCTGACTCCTGTTCTCTTTGGCCCTGTCCCTTCTGTGTCTGTGGAGGTCCTCACTCCTCTAGATGCCTCACCTGTGTCTCTACAAGGCTAAGTGGATTAGGCGTCACCCTTCAAGTCCTTCTTTGAAAAATGTAAAAAGAATGAGTAATTTTAAAAAGCAGATATCTACATGAAAGGATATCAGCTTATATTTATTTATAGTAGGGACACATTAGTGGCTTAAAGGGTGCAAAAATCCCACCCAAGTGGCCCCGTGATTAGGGTTTCTAAAAATGAGGAATGATACCAGCCCATTATTCATGGCCTGCTGGTATAGAAAGAAACAGGCAGAGACTTGCCGAAGCTATGTGATGACATCATTAAATGTCATAATTAGGGCCATTTAATGACCAAGAACATTGCAAGACTTTTATCACACTTACTTGCTTAGCAAACATTTGTTTTTACTTGTATTTTCATTGGCTTGTAGTTGTGAACTAGATAATATGTTAGTTTAAACAATGCTACATGTGGGAGGTTTGTTGTGGCTTCACTGTTATAAAAGGGACCAAGGAAGAAATAAAAGTATTGGATAAAGACTGTGGTTATCAGTAAGAAAATTTCTGTTTCTATTTAAGAAGATTAAGAAAGCCCTTTCTGGGAGAACCTGCATAAGACCGAACTAGACTCCCTTAATATAGGTGACAATGGTGCAACTGGGACAATAAATGAGGCCACTGGCAGTGGGTCCAAGATCTAACACTAATGCACAAACTGACTTAGTGGAACCTATTCTGTATGGAGAGATACCTTGCCCAGTCTAGAAACAGGGGTGTGTGTGTGGGGGTGGTGAAGAGGTGCTTGGTCCTGCCTCAACATGATGATGGGACAGAATTGGTAAACTTCCTGGGGGAGGCCTTACCCTCTCTGAGGAGGAGATGGGAGGTGGAGAAGGTGGAGGAGGTGGAGGAGTAGGAGACGGAAGGAGGAAACTGGGATTGGAATGTAAAAAATAAATTAATAATTAAAAAAATTAAAGAAATAAATAAAGCCCTTTCCCTGCACCAAGAGAGAGAGAGAGAGAGAGAGAGAGAGAGAGAGAGAGAGAGAGACACCACCAACAAAAACCCCAGTGAATTCTTACTGCAGGTCAGGGTACACAGAATCACAAACCTCCAGCCAGGACAGTTCTTAATGGCTGCAAAATGGAACCCCCAGGGGGAGACACAAGTAACAGTGTCTGGCTCCTCTGTAGAAGGCTTTTCATTTAATAGTCATGGGCTTTGACTTAGTGTCCGTATTTTATGATGCTCCTCAGATTATTCCAATGGTCAGAGTGAAATCTGAGATCACCTCATTAAATTGTCTGCATGGCAAATAATAATAATAATAATAATAATAATAATATTAATAATAATAATAATAATAATTCAATAGTGGCTATTTATGTAATAGAAAAAAGTATGGGATTTAGAACCACCGATTGCTCTAATACTCACTGTACCTGAGCAACATCAACTTGAATGAAACAATAGAGAATCAATCAAGCTTGGTTTGAAATCACTGTCTGGAACACTGGCTTCTCTGTATCTCTCCTTGACCATGTGTAGCTTTTGACTTCGGGTTGGGGGGTGGTTACTATTATGAATTCTCAATTGCTTTTATATAACTTCTCTTAGCCATGATGTTACCTCAGTGCATGTCTCTGACAAACACAGTTTAATTACATAGTAAGTTTGTGAATGTTGTATAAAGATAATTTTACTATATATGTATATTTTTACTCCTTTGCTAAATACCCTATACTAGCTGGAGCAGACAACTTTGAAATCGGCCACCAATTGTTAATCATCTTTATAGTATTCAAGATGTATATAATTCCCTGTCCTCAAGCCACTTGCTTCTAATGGGAAATTGTGCCTTTCCTCTCAGCCAGATGTGTCACTCAGGTTCTTCCCCCATTTTTTTTTTGATGAACCCATACTAAGTGGGAGAGATTCATGTGGAAAAAACAAAACAAAACAAAACTGAGAACAGCCTGAGTTCAATAACTGGCAGGCACTGAGTCTCTCACTTCAGCTGCTTCAAAAGATCACTCTCAGCCACCACACCACCACAGAAGTGGTCATGGAATCAGGTTCTTCTGGGTTGTCTCCTCACAGGTGACCCCAGTGCCAACTGGCACCTTCAGTGAAACCTTGTAACATACTAGGAAGACTGGATGCACCTGATTCATGGTACACAGAAACTGTGGGATACTGAATATGTGGTGGTTTTGTTGCTACATTTTGAGGAGGAAATATAACAGATTCAGATTACTACTCCATGTATATCTGGTCCTATACAACTCATAGAAAGGGGAGAAGGGGATGAAACTCTACAGAGAAACAGATATGTTGGAATAGATGTATTCATAAGATCCCATGACCTAGTAGGTTGTTTCCTGAGTGGCATGGAAACTGTTAGCTAAGGTAATACGGGAAAAGCAGGCAGTGGTGTGAACAGCATCACAGAGAAACTCAGTAGAGCCATGTCAATAAAACTAGATCTTTGATAGCAAATATTATAATAGGCTGTAGCTCTCCCACAATAAAGGGATAAGATCACAGACAGCCCAGATGAACCATGAAAATATCTGAGTTAATGTTGGACAGTGTAGAGCACTGTAACTCATGGGGCTGTGTGGGAACTGTGAAGAGACTTTGGAGTTTTTCATAATTCAAATATGTTGTGGAATACTGATTGAAGAGGACAAAGATGTGTTATGTTTGTTTATGCTGTGTTTGTTTAACAATGTAAAGATGTGTTGCTTTGGTTGCCTAAGGCACCTGATTGATCTATTAAGCTGGGAGGCCAATAGGCAGTAGAGGTATAAGTGGGGCTCTCAGGCAGAATGATGATGTAGGAGGAGGAATCTAGGCTCAAGAGAGGGGAGAGAAGAGAATGAGGGAGAAAAAAAAGGGAGATACCCTGGACCAGCCAGGCAGGCAGCTGCCACCCAGCCAGACACAGAGTAGGACATACAAAATGAAAGAAAGGTAAAATCCAGGAGGGAAAATGTATATGAAAAAGAAATAGGTTGATTTAAATTATAAGAGTTAGTGGGACAGGCATAAGATAAAGCTGAGCATTTGTAACTAATATTAAGTCTCTGTGTCATGAGTTGGGAGCTGGTTGGTGGACCAAAAGAAAGCCTGCTACACAAAACTGACACGGCCATAGATATAGGTTCTAGAGTTTGGCTTGTATATGTAACTAAACCTATTTATCTTTTAAGAGAGTTTAAATAATAAATGAGTAAGGACATGTGTTGAAATGCATTGTTTGATTGGAAGAATATGACTCTTCTTCTATATTCTAATTCTGATATATTTCTCAAATCTCTGGACCATCATTTGAAACAGGATGATCTTGCAGGCTGAAGGACCACAGCAAATACATACATACATACATACATACATACATACATACATACATACATCAGTAATTTCCTTAGTCCTTTCCTAAAGGTACATATGAGTATCTATGCAGAGGAAATTGGGATGTCCATGTATTTGGATGATGTTGGACAGCAAATGAGAATTGACACTGAGAGCTAGGTATGAAAATACCTATATGGCCTCCATTAGAATCTATCAGTGACAGTAGGAAGATATATGTCTTGTTTCAGGTCACTTTTGCGGTTGTTTCACGGGGTCCCAGACATACTGTTGTGAAACCCAGGTAACTTGAGCTATAAAATAAATTCTTCTAAATCATAAAATGTATGTGAAACCCTTGGTAACTGCCTTCTCCTTATTCATACCACAATTCCCAGTAACCTAGTATGATAATGGTTAATCTTGGTTGTCTGCTTGACTAGATTTGAAATCAACTACAAGACAAGCCTCTGGGAACCTGTTGGGTGGGGAGTAATGCATTGAATGTTAGATGACCTACTGGAGCAGGTCTGGTGTTTTAAGTTGTAATTTCAACTAAATAGAGAGAGAAATATAGTAGAGAAATACAATAGCTACAATCCAATAAGGACAAAATAACCAATCCCTCAGAACTCTCAGATTGAACTCTTCGGTAGCTCTATAAGACAGGTTGCATAATATAGCAGGTATCTACTGATCAATACTCCTAAGATAACTTCCTGCAGCAAGTTTAACTAACAAGTTGGTGAGTGTAGAACAAGAGCAATAGATGTGTGAAGTAGGTAGTAGGGTATTCTATTCGGGTCATACATCCTTGAGCTAGCGTCAGTACATAATACAGCGTCAGAACACTCACAGTGTTCATCTGTCTTGTTTCTCACATGGTTGGGCTTAGCTATAGATCCCATTCACCTGGAGGTGTCTGCCTCTTGGCCATATATGTAGTGAAAGCTTTGGACCGTAAACCCCAAAACAACATCTTTAGCCTGAAAGTTCTTTACCATAAATATGCTTGTTTCCAAAAATTAAACTATGCTGCTACTATTGCTTAAGATTGTACTGACTATTCCTAGTGTTTTGTGCTTTTACATGAAATTTAGGACTTTTTTTCAGTTCCATGAAGGATGTCATTGGATCTGTAGTAGGAATTGCATTGACAATTTAGCTAGACTTTGACAATATGGCCATTTTCTCAGAACTCTGCCAGTCCATGAACATGGTATGCTTTTTCAGCTTCAATGTGTTCTTTACTCTTTTTTCTTCATTATTTCATAATTTTCACTATATAGATTTATCCCATCTTTTACTAGATTTATTCTAGGTATTCTATTTTGTGTGACAGGAGCTATAGTGACTAGAATTATTTTCCTGAAATCATTCTCATTAAATTTGTTGGTGGAATAACAATAATGAGTATTATAGAGCAAATATAAAACTAACTCACTAATGGCACAGTACAAGACACATAGAGACACTAACATAATAGAGTAGGGAACCATATAGAAAACTGAAATTTGATCCCTACACATCTTTCTTAAAAAGAAAATCCCCAAACACAAGTACATAAGAACAGCATTTACTGGGTTCAATTCTCTTTTCCTTCTTCTTCTTCTTCTTCTTCTTCTTCTTCTTCTTCTTCTTCTCTCTGTCTCTCTGTCTCTGTCTCTGTCTCTCTCTCTCTCTCTCTCTCTCTCTCTCTCTCTCTCTCTGTGTGTGTGTGTGTGTGTGTGTGTGTGTAAAACAGTAGTAATTATAGAGGAGGTTCTGAACTTGAGAAGGAGTTGGCGGCATAGGAGTGGGGGAAGGGGGGGGGTAGAAATGATGGAAATGCAATACTCAAACATGAAATTCTCAAAATTGTTTAAATAAAAATTTATTCAAATGGATCAAAGACCTTAATTTGTTCAAAACCAGCTTGGAAAACTCCAAATTCTGCTTCTCCATGTCTGATGTCAAAGCACTCTTCAGATCTCCAATTCCCTTCAGTTTTGCTGACAGTAACACACTTCTTTGTCTTGGGCTGGTTCCACTCCCTGTTAGTAGCTTTCCTGGGCAGGTATTCCATAACTTTGGCATCTCCAACATGCATTTTCCAAGGCAATCCAGGCTTTAACCTCACAGCTTCATACAATGGCCTCTCTACTTGGCCTCCATTCAGGGGCACCCCTGACACCTGACTGGCCTTAGTGGCTTTATTTAGGTATGGAGGCCAATTTCATAACCCATTTCTTCTATCCTTAACTCTATAGCCAGAACCATGTGGCTGAAGCTGCCATGTTCTGCTGCTTACTGGGACTGGAACATGGTCCCCTTGTTCAATTACATCTTCACCATCTTTCTGCCCTTCACTGCTTAAGCTTGACTGTCCTGAAACTGGATCTCTAGACCAGGTTGGCCTCAAACTCAAAGATCCACTAGCCTCTGACTTCTCAGTGGTAGAATTAAAGCTCTGCTCCACCACACCTGGCTCTAAGCTTTTCTTTAGTTCCTTTTCACTAGCTGGAAACTTAACTGGGTCAGATCTTGCCCTAAGGTCACCACGCCCTTTATTCCATACTTTTCTCCTTGAATACAGAACTTAGCTGCATTCCACTTTCTGGTGCTCTTTTACTCATCAAATAGTTTTCCAAGATGGGTGGTAGTGGCACACACCTTTAATCCCAGGACTCGGGAGGCAGAGGCAGTCAGATCTCTGTGAGTTCAAGACCAGCCTGGTCTACAAGAGCGAGTTCCAGGACAGCCTCCAAAGCCACAGAGAAACCCTGTTTTGAAAAATCAAAAAAAAAAAAAAAAATCCTGCTCAGCTTGCTTCTTTCCATTATACTTCTTCATTAGAATTAACACTAGTAATCACACAACAGAGTCTATAATAAGATGTTTTGACATTTTCTCTGCCAATGTAATTAATCCAGGCAGACTTTTCAGACAAGGGCAAAAAGCAGCCACGTTCTTTACCAAAATATCACAAGAATGATCTTTAAGCAACATACTAAAATTCTTCTCCTCTGAAACCTCTTGATTCCCAGTTTGTCAAATCACACTCAGCACCACTGTCTTCCATGCTCCTACTGGTAGAGCTCTTAAGCAGCACTTAAAGCATTCTACTGCTTTCCTAACCCAAACTCCCAAAGTTCATATTACTCCAAACAAAAACATGCAAACATCCAAACATCACAGCAAACCCCCACTCCCTGGTACCAACTTCTGTCTTAGTTGGGGTTTCTATTGCAGTGAAGACACACCATGACCACAACAATTCTTACAAAGTTGGTGTGGCTTACTTAGAGCTTCAGAGTCCATTATCATGGTGGGGAGCATGGCAGCATGCAGACAGACATGGTACTGGCTACATATTGACTTTCAGGTAACAGGAAGTTAACTGAGACACTGGGGAGGGCAGTTTCTGAACATAGGATACTTCAAAGCCTACCCTCACAGTGGCATACTTCCTCCAACAAGGCCATGCCCAATACCCACTCCATCAAAGCCAACAGAATCCACATGAGCAAAGCATCACAGGAGACAACTATGTCTCATGACACCCAGGGCCTCAGTAACACCACAGTGACACACTTCCTCTTTGTAGGAAGTGGGGGAGAGCGTGGAATCACAACTGCATTTCCTTGTTTGAGCTCTGTGCTCAGACCACTTTTCAATTAGAGGCGGTGTGCTTGTGTGCTTGCCCAATGAGATCTTCCTATATAGAAAGATGAATACAGGGAGAAATACAGCAGGCACACCTGAAATCATCTGCTGGCATTGCTAGAGATGAGCTAAAATATTGGCAAATGAGGATGACAATTGAAGAAGGACAGAGGAGACATATGAACACTGGTGTGCTTGCAAAACTAAGATTTATTTAATACAGGGGAGACAGCTGTTTTTGAAAATGGAGAAGAGAAAAATCGTAAGGATAAGTTTACAGATTTCATAGAAAAATCAAACTTTTGTTCATTTGACAGAAACACAGGTACAGTATTTGGAAGGTAAAAACCAGTATGTTAAGACGGAGGCTTTACAATGTGCCTCTGGGGATTCAGCCCACACAGGGGCTACATCTGAAATGCTGAATAACATAGGAGACTGGTGAGAGCTCAGCAGCAGGAACCACTAGAGCATGCTGGGCGGCAGCAGGTGGTCTGGCAACAGGTGGGGCGGCAGCAGCTGGAGATGCAGCACTGGGGCCTGCAGCAGCTGGACACACAACAGCTGGGGCGACAGCAGGTGGTCTGGCAACAGCTGGGGCGGCAGCAGCTGGACACACAGCAGCTGGGGCGGCAGCAGCTGGATCCACAACAGCTGGAACTGCTACAACAGGGGCGGCAGCAGGAAGGCCTGCAGCAACTGGGTCTGCAACAGCTGGACACACAGCAGCTAGGGCGGCAGCAGGAAGGCCTGCAGCAGCTGGGATGGCAGCAGGTGGGCTGACAGCACACAGACTGGCAGCAGCTGGGACGGCAGCAGCTGGACACACAGCAGCTGGGCCTGCAGCAGGTGGTCCTGCAGCAGGTGGGCTGGCAGCAGCTGGGCTGGCAGCAGCCTTGGCCACAGCCCTCCTCAGAGCAGACAGAGCCACAACAGGAGTTGACCATGGTGTGAGAGGTGGAGGTTCTG